ATTATTTCTAAACATGAATGAAAATTTAAATAATGGAAATATTTAGGTATTTATGCTATTAGTAAAACTACCTAATTATTTTCGCAGTATTTATTTGTTATCTGGTTTTTGCTTAGTCATGAAATAGGCCAAAACATCAGCACAAAGAAAATAATTATAAATTCTTTTTGTGTACTTTTATTGACATCAATATCCAACTAACATCTATTATAAAGATATGAGTGTAATTTATAATTTGTTCTTTATAGTGTATTCAGTTCACCAAAATATTTTAAATTAAGATAAATTAAATAAAGTTATTAATAAGTAGTGAAAATAAAAAGTTTTAACCTAGAGTCAACAAAATTAATTTATAATAAGAACTTTTATGTTTTAGTGAGGGGATTACTAAATGCTAATTCCTTTAAAAAATTATTTTTATATCAAGCAGCACTATTAAATGGATCATTTTTAATTTAACTTTTAAAATAATTTCCAGTATTATAGACTAATGTCTAATTAAATTTGTATGATAAACATAAAAATGTCTTTTCAAATCCTTAGATCTGGTTTACATTTCTGTGATTAATATCATAACCACAAATTCTTTCTAAATTAAAAATTTAAAAACCTCAATAAATTTTGAATAAATAACATTGGAATTTAAACGATATTCATTCAAATATATCGTTTATTATGGTGATTTTTCTACTAATAGACAATTTTCAGTAATGACTGTTTTCTGTAACTAAAAACATAAATATTTCCTATTCTGTAATCCTTCAGTGCTGTATACTGTTACGTGGTTTAAATCAAATAAATATTGAGTCATTTGTAGATTCTGTAATCAAAGGTAAATGTTTATCTTTTTTTTGTTTGAATATATTCGAGGTCTGAGGAAGCAAAAGTTAATTTATATCTTCTTATTTCAAATAATGGATTTATAAACCCAAAACTTTTAATATTTTCTTGGGAATTTTACTGCACGGAAATCCGGTCTCTAGTCATAGCTATAGCAATAATTACTTTTGCTAAGTAATGAAAAAATAATTTCTGTAATAATTCATCATTAATAATATCTTGTTAATAAGAACAGTAATCTTAATATTGGAAGTATTTTCCTCAGAAAAAATGGAAAGCTCTCAATAATATTAATATTTGAGACACTGTTAGTGGAATTTTTATTTCATTTTACATATTTTCTAAGAAGATATAAGTAACTATATGAACACATTTGTCTAAAAATATGTATGTATTTTTTTCAATTTCTTTTTTCTCCCGATTTATATTTATTGATATTAGGGTTCATACACTTTTATATGTACTTACTATACAAAAGACAGCTCAGTGGTAGGGCACTAACCTGGCAGAAGAGTGTGATCCTGGCCTAATCCCCTCCTTGCACAACTGTTGGTCTTGAAACTATACTTTCCCTAAATAGTACTGAACCCAAGATCTTTCATAGGTTATAGAGGTACTTTTTTTTTTTTACCATACAAAACAGTTCTGTACCATTTGTGTACTTTTTGAGTTAATCGCAAATAAAATTCTGCATCAATTGTTACATTTTTTCAGCCACTTTTCGAGGAAGTACGTTATATGCATGAATTAAAAGGGCTCCAAGGAGAAAATTGTATCCCAAGTTTCATTAGAATTAATACAGCGGTTTCGACAGTACACTTTATAGCAACACTTATTTAATGACCGCCATTTCAAAGAGAAAGGCCAGATGGTAATGAAATGTATTAAAAAACACTCCTGAATTTGATTGCAACATTGTATCAATGTTTCAAAGAAATCGTTGAAGGACTTTCGATTTTGAAAGAACTGACATTTACATTTTTATTTATATATACTGTTTAAAAATAAAATTTATTGATAACACTAAAGCTCGTCAATAGCTACTGAACAAAAAATGAAAGTGGTTCAGAAACAGAGGAGGAAAAGGGACTGAACTGTTTAGATTTATATATTACGAGATGGTATTTATAGTAACTTGATTTAATTATTATTTAACAGTTCAATCATTAACAATCTGTTTCTGTATATATATATCCTTGCATTTTCAGATAACATTATATAAACATTTTACATAATAAAAAAAAATGTATTTTGAAATTGTTTGTGCCTAAATGGTACTGGTACTGGCAGTACATAAAATTATCAATTTAATTTTTTATAGAGGAAATAATAAACAATTATAACAAAAAATTAAAATAAATCAAAAATTGAATTTGAAATAGAAAATGAGGAGTTAATTGGGGGATGCGGTTAAATAAATACTAAATTTTTAAAATAGTAGTGATTGGTGGGCGTAGCTCGCCTGTCATAACCTTTTTTCAGTAAGCTATCTAAGACTTGGAGGTTGTCTAGCTTTGTCCCAAACCTGTGTTTTGCGAAGCTATCGAATCCATCCACTCTTTTTTCTTGTCACACATAAGATAAAACACGTATTAGAATCAATAGCACACAAATCACTTGCTTGAACCACTAATAATAGTTTTCATGCTCTATTGATTCTAATGCGTGTTTTATCTTATGTGTCACAAGAAAGAAGTGTAGATGGATTCAATAGCATCGGAAAAAACAGGTTTGGAACAAAGCTAGATGACCTTCAAGTCTTGGACAGTTTACTGAAAAAAGATTATGACAGACGAGCAACGACCACCAATCACTTAACCCTGATGAAAACCTACAAAAGTGAGTCGAAACGTAGGCGTAATGATTAAAATACTATTTAAAAAATTTAGTATTTATTTGACTGCACCCCCGGCCAACTCCTTCTCATATTATATCATGGTCAACCATCTCTACATCATTAAAATAGAAAAGGTTGAATTTGTTTTTTATATATATTTTAGGCCAAAGGTCACCAAATATACACAGTTTTTATATCCTGTATTCTTTATTCAACGTTTCGGCTTCAGGAGCCATTTTCAAGATCCATGCACCACGCCATAAAATTTTTAAAATCTATCATTGCAATATGATTCGTCCTTTAGTCATTCTTTTATTTCAAAGAATGTCGTTTTTTCATTTCTCTTTCGCAGACGATATCAAGAAAATTGCTGCTCCTCACTAGGGCATTCATACAGGACTCTAATTTAAAAATTTTATGGCGCGGTGCATGGATCTTGAAAATGGCTCCTGAAGCCGAAACGTTGAATAAAGAATACAGGATATAAAAACTGTGTTTATTTGGTGACTTTTGGCCTAAAATATATATAAAAAACTTATGAGAAAATGGCACCAAACCTGAATGATGTGACTAGAAAGTTGAATTTGTCTTTAAAACAGTTGAATATGATTTGGAAGTAGTATATAGACTCCAATCACCTCCTTAAAACTGTTCCCAATATTCCAACTATGTTCCTACATGATAATTCCATTAAATTTTATCTGACCATCAAAAACCTAGAAATAACCTTTGATCAAATGCTTTCCTGGAAAAACCAAGTATCCAATATCTCCCGGCATACCTTTTCCACCTTTAAACGTTTAAATTACTTCCATCACCTATTTCCCCTTGAAACCTGTAGCCTCCTAGCCAATTCCTTAATATTTCCCCACTTTGACTATTGCTATACGGTATATGGGAGCGTCTCTGGGGATCTTTATTGCTTTGAAATAAAATTGCTTTATACGATTCATCTTCAGGATCCCACGGGTCGCCTCTGTGGCCTGTTTTTATCCATAGTTGAAGTGGCTTTATCCTTCCTACCTTCGTAAGTATTTCCTGGCATCCTTCCTCTTTCAAGTCATCCAATCCTGCCGTCCTTCATACATCTCTGAGCTCCTTCAATTCAAATCCTATGTTCGTTCCTGGTCTTCAGGTTTATACACAAGGGCCCACCGAACAGCTGCTTTCGACAGATTGTTCATTATCTGTTCCTCATCCCTAAGGAACTAGATCCCTTCCCACATTTGTCAATCCAATACCCTTCCTACCTGTTCAATCATTTCTTATCTATCCAGTCTCCATAAAATTGTAAATAGATACTACTGTAAATATGTATGCGAATTATTAGATCGTCCTTCATTTTTGTTTTTTTCATTTTTTATTATTAACTGATTAGAATTAGAAAGTAACTTATATATTTTTTAAAGGAAGGGGATGGTCCGGGGTGACGGTCATAAATAGGCTAAATAGTGGTAAAACAATTTTTATTAAAAGCCGATGTTTCGACCCGACTTTGCAGGTCTTCTTCAGGGCTAGAAAGAACAAGATACAAAAAAATTGAAAATTGTGGAAGTTACATAATATTTAGACAAAAAATTATAAACAATGTGAATAAGCTTATTAAATTGTTAGCATCTATTTACTTTAGTTTAGGATCTTGTTACTTAGCTTACTCTGTTCATATTCTAATGTGCTTATTGTTTATAATTTTAGTAAGCTTATTCAAATTGTTTATAAATTTTTTGTCTAAATATTATGCAACTTCCACAATTCTTTATCTTTTTGTAGCTTGCTCGTTCTAGCCCTGAAGAAGACCTGCAAAGTAGGGTCGAAACGTCCACTTTTAATAAAAATAGTTTTACCACTATTTAGCCTCGGACCATCTCCTTCCTTTATAATGCAACTGTCAAATATTAAATATTCATTATATATTTTTTATTTTGACTATTTAATTACTCTGTATTTTTGTTTATGAATCTAGGAAGCTCCTTAGCCCACATTTCTGTTTTTCTGTATTATTCAAAAGGGACTCGTCCCAGAATAAATAAAGTATTATTATATATGTACCACCCACTTTTTTGGAGGGTTAAAATTTTTATTTAAATTTTCTAGGGTCATTCCAGATTGCTGAGAATATCCACTATATAATCACATAAAAAAAAAACATTCATCCTGCATATTTCCTATAATTTATTACTTAATGTGGTTCAAATGCAACATTACCATCACAGCTTCTAAATTGACCATCAATTTATATTGTTTTTGTATTTACTTTATCTTTCTTATAAAGAGATGATAAAACATGAATTGTAAAAAAAGGATTAAGGAAAATCAAACAAGATAACAACGAAATATCTATTTTTTACTTATTTTGTATAAACTATATAATATAAAAATTTACACTTGACAATTACATACTGATCGGTGAGTATTCACAAATCAACAAAAAAAATTTACACAATGTGCAATCTCACACGATTGGACTAGATACATTGGGCCACTTGGGCGACTTACCAAAAAGCTAGAGATTCTATTCGATATTACCACCAATCAATGGCAGGCCGATTGTGATGTTCTTTTAATAAAAAATAATTATTATAAATTGGAAATGTCCACGTTTTGAAAATAAAAACACCTTAACTTAAAAAGGCAGTGAGATACAATTCAATCATATAAAAAATAAAGTTCCTTATATAAAAAAAAAGTAAAGAAAAAACAAAAAAATAAAATAAAAAGCAAATGAGGAAGAAAAAGTTGTCAAGATAAGTCCTCAAGTCTTTTTTGATAAAATTACATAGTATTATAGACAGGATTAGAATGTCGAGTAAGCCTCGCAAGGGGATGCGTCTTTCCTTGCTGTTGTTTCTTATGCGCTGCTTTGGCTAGTACACTAGTCACAACAACTCTGGGTACGATGGCAGTCCGAACGACAGGTGCGGGCAGCGCAGGCTGCGCGGGGGGCTGGGGACGAGGGGGCGGAGCCTCGTACCTTCCGACCAGCTGCCGCACGGACAGCTCCTCCAGGGATCCGGAAGGGCTCGGCCGCTCGCACTGGTCGCTCGTCGGCGACGAAGGAAGGCTTTCACTACCCCCACTACCACCGCCACTTTTCGCTTCAAACTCTTTCTTGAGGTTTTTTACAAGTCCTGTTTCCGGAGGCTGCGTGCGAATGTCGTACGAACCCCAGGAACTGTTCCTCGACGGAGCAATGCCCCTCGTGTCGCCGGATCCCCAGCTGCTCTGTCTTGAAACCCCTTCCCCAGCGGCCATACCACTGTCAAATGAGCTCCAAGAGTTCTGTCTTGAAACCTAAAACAAAAAAAAAACAAAAAATTAATTTAAGTTATACTACAAAAATTCTAACTGTATTAGACTACTAGTCCAATTAACAAAATTCTTTTTGTGTTAGATAGACTGGTTATTAAGGTCTATTATGAACATAGGGATTTAGAATGACACTTTTCTGGCTCACTCTCTCTTGAGAGATAAAAGTGCTGACATAAAATTTTACTAACTAGAAGTATAGTATAAATCACCTCCTCAAAACTGTTCCTAACTTTCCAACCCTGTTCCTACATGATAATCCCATCAAATTTTATCCCACCATCAAAAACCTTGGAATAATCTTTGATCAAACCCTTTTCTGGAAAAACCATGTGTCCAATATCTTCCGACGTACCTTTTCCACCCTAAAACACCTAAATAGCCTGCGACACCTTTTTCCTTTTGAAATCCGTAGACTCCTGGTCACCTCCTTAATATTTCCCCACTTCGACTATTGCTGCACAGTATATGGAGGCGTCTCTGGGGATCTTGAGGCAAAACTAAAACGTTTGATGAATTGCTTTGTACGATTCATCTTCGGGATCCCAAGAGACGCCCCTGTTTCCTGTTTCTATGAAGAGTTGAAGTGGCTTTATCCTTCCAACCGCCGTAAGTATTTCCTGGCATCCTTCCTCTTTCTAGTTATCTAATCCCGCCGTCCTTCATACATCTTCGAGCTCCTTCAATTTAAATCCTCTGTCCACTCCCGCAATACCCATTCCCGGTCTTCAGATTTATAGATAATGGCCCACCGAACCGCTGCTTTCGATAAATCTTTTATTATTCGATCCTCTTCCCTATGGACTCCATCCCTCCCCACAAGCGTCAATCCAAAACCCTTCCTACCTTTAAATTCCAACTGTTTAATCATTTCTTATCCATCCAGTCATCATAAAATTGTAAATAGTTACTACTGTAAATATGTATATAAATTCACTTACTTACTTATACTTCATGTTTATTTTCAATTTTTTATTTTTTATTATTAACTGATGTAAATTAGAGAGTAACTTATAATTTCTCTTATTATTTTTTTTTCATTTATCTATTTTTTTTTTGTTGACTATTTAATCAAACTATATTCTTCTTTATGTATCTCTGAGGCTCCTTAGCTCACATTTTTGTCTCTCTGTATTATTCTACAGGGACTCGTCCCAGAATAAATAAAGCATTATTATTATTATTTTGCCCATATATAAGAGAAAGTAGAGGATGGAATTCAATAAAATCGATACAAATCATTATTTTACCAAAACCCAACTTTCTTTCAACTTTGAGCCAAATTGAATGAGCCGTTTATGAATTATTGGCATATCTAATAATAATAGTAATAAAAGGCTTAGGAAACCTCCCTCCACCGTTCGCCATCCAAACCCAGTCTCTTCAGATCGGCTTTAATCTTCCCACCTTCACTTCGGTCTACCCCTCGGACATTTACCATTCGGTACAGCAAATATGAACCTTTTAGGAATTCCCTCTTTACTAAGTTCACCATACATCACACACCATATACCCCATACTCGTTTTAGTTCACCATACACCACAAATTGGCATATCTAAGAAAATATATTTACGCGTGCGCAAGCGGGACGTGATTAAATTGATATGGGATCATTTAGACACTAACCCGCACAATCTCTGAAAATCGGATGAACGGTAGTAGGTATATGCCTGTCACATTGCTTTGACTACAGAAAGACAGACACCAAGAGGCGGAGTGGCCGAATGGGCAAACGCATGTGCACAGCACCTCGAGTTGCCCGGCAACCAGATAACAGAAGTTATGAGAGATTAAAAAGTATGAAATAAAAAACCACTATAGCTGGAACAAAATTGTAGAAATCCTTTAATATATCAAATATAACTACTTTTTAATTATTTATAGCCTTAAGTCCTTAGTGATTAAGTGTTACGAAATGTTAAATAATGACTTTTTGCAACAAACTATAAATGAATTAAACAATAAAGAACTATCTAAAAAAAATAATCTTACTTCATGGTTGACCGTTTCCTCTCGATCGAAAACCCTATCAAGCTGAGAAGAAAACAAATCTCGACCCCTCCTTTCTGTTCTTTCTTCTTCGAACTGGGAAGTAAGATTGAGAACAAGACCCCGTCTGTCACCTTTTCTTCTTCGATCCATTGCTTTCTGAGATTCAAGGGCACTTATCCTCGTTTTGACAGAAGATACTCCATTCTCTTGACTGTTATAAAATGAAACAAATTTATGATAATAATAATAATAAATAAATTTATAATAATAATAAAAATTAATAAAAAGAACAATATCAATAATATATACCTCTGTAAGCATGGTAAATGAAGAATTTTATTTTGAGAAACGCTATAGGTAAGCCCGTTGCAGGGCATCCTGACGTTGATATTGTAATTCCGAGCCTCTGGGATGGGCGGGAAAGGGGGGAGGGGTGGCGGAGGAGGAGGTGCTGGTGGGGGGACCTCTTTCATGTCCACATCGCTATCTTTAACGTTATCCTCTTTCTCACCTGAAAATTTGAAATATACATAAGGTGAAGTTATAAAAATATAATTGAAATATCACAAATATATATATTATCCAAAATCATTTTTTTTTTTTAAATAAATAACACTTCTTCCCTATTTAATAAAATAAAACAATTAAACGGACAAGTACATGCCACACAATAATCTTTGTGGTCGTCGTGGTACAATATGGCAAAAAAGGAAAAAAAAACATTTAATGTCCATTATTTCAAAAATATTTGAGTTTGAGTAAAATAAAATTGAGTTAGTGCCTAAATTGATTTTTATTAAAGCCTAAAAAATGTAAAAAAAAAAAACTGAGGGTACGATTCATTAATCCCTTATAAGAAATTTGATATTCAACAACACCCTGCAATTCATGGTATTTCAGCATGAAAGGTCCTTATATATAATACAACACGGATTAGGTGACTTAGTGAAATAATGAATAACTAATCAATAATTTGAAGATGAAATGACATCTTACGTTGAGAACGAGCGGTAAAGATGTTGTTAGCAGTGACGTAGTCTGGAGACCACGACTTGGGCCGAGCGACTCCATGCAGTGGCGGAAGCCGTTCTTCTATTTCTCCTTCGCTCACACTCCTATCTCCATCGTTCTCTTCCCTCTCACTGCTCCTCTTCTCTCCTCTCGTCGGATGCTTAGACTTAAGGTTAGTTTCAGACTTAGAACGTTGTAGCTTTTCACGATTTTTCATTGCGTCTAATATACCCTAAAATGAAAAAAATAAATTATAATGGTACAGAAAAAATTGAACGTCATTCTAACTTAAAATTAATAGTTCTAATTTGACTTTTATTATCATTTTTAAATTAACTTTTAGAGATGGGTATGTAGTTGACTGTTGATATTATAAGGATGGGAAAAAAAGTCAGGATTTGCAGACCAAAATTTCTTTAGAGTTAGCCGACGTTTTGACCCAAACATGTGGAATACAACTCTTGACAATTTTTTTTTGATACTACTTCACTAGCAGGCCGGGTTGGAACCTCACTTCTTATCTATGTTATCTAACGTCACGTTACATAACCTCCCTCTTCTTATCCCACCAAATCTTTCAGTTATTACATTGCTTATTTTTCGGTTATTCCCTTATTACGTTCACTTATGAAATTCTTTATTTTTGGCCTGTTTGTGTTTATGAAGAAAAAAAATTGGAGGGCCTGGCAAAGTGTTTGAAGTAGACGAGAGTCATGTGGTGAGAGTTTTACCGTCAAAATAAATGACAGAAAAGCAACAACCTTATTGCAAGCAATTAAAGACAATATAGAAGAGGGAACGACCATTTATTGGGACTGTTGGAAAGGATACAACACCCGACAACTGAACGAAGCAAACTATGACCATTTCCAAGTGAATCACTGGTATAATTTTGTCGATCCATCAACTGGGGTTCATACTCAACACATAGAACGATTATGGGGCTCAGCTAAGTGGAGAAATAAAGTACATAGAGGAACTGCCAGGCAACACCTCGATTCATATGTGTGCGAATTTTTGTGGCGGCGGGTTTACAAAGAAGAGGAAAATAAATTGTACATATGTCGTTTATAGTGTTGATATTTTTTCTTTTATATGTACATATGTTCTTTAAGTGTTTTTTTTAATTATTTCATTTTCATCTTTTATATGTACATATATTATTTAAGTGTTTTTTTATTATTTCATTTTGATCTTTTATATGATTAGTTTTAATATTTATTTCAATTTCTTTATACCACTATAACCCATAAAGGCGTCTTGGGTTCAGTACTTTATACGGGGGTACAATTTCTTGGTCAAAAGTTGAGCAAGGAGGTGATTTGATCGAGATCATGCTCAACCACCATGTTTTCCCCTTTAATTAAATGCCCCAGGAGGTTCTTTCGAAACAGAGTAATTCATTTATCTGGCATCAGTCAGACCCGAAACATGGGACCTTAAGCACTGGAAGTCAGTGCCCTACCGCTGAGCTACTCCACCATCACTCATTTCAATTCCTTATATATTATTGTTTACCTTTTGCATATTGAATTATTTGTGTTGTCTACTATTTTATTCTGTTTAAACTCATTTCATTTACTATATATCATTTTTTATACCCGTAAAATAGATCTATTATTTGTATCTGATATCTTGTACCAATTTAACATCAATTATTATTTTAATTTTTTTTTTTTTTTAGATGAAAACATAGGTTCTCTAATAAAAATCACACCAGCATAGTATGCGTGTGATTGTTGACCACACCCTTCAAAACTAACTATTTCTTAAATAAATTATAGACGCATATGAGTTATCAGGATTCATTTTTCTATGAGTCAAAACTGCAGTAGCAAAATATTATTTAATAACTATTTTAACATAAAAGTTTATATCTATATGTCTCACCTGATACGTTTCGAGTTGTGAAATAAAGCTCGAATTTGGCTTAATACACTGACGTTTATTTTGTACATAATTAAGAGCTTTCTTCAAGTCCCAACTGTAAGCTTTCATTGCGTAAGCGATAACGACCGAGGCCGATCGACTTACTCCCATCTTACAGTGAACTAGAACTTTGGAACCATCTTTCCTAAATTTTAAAAATGAAAACAAAATAATTAATAATCATATTAACTATAAGTAAATATATAAATACATTTATAGAGAATATTTTTATTCGAATATATATAAAAAATCTGAGACTTACTTGGCTTTTGATATATATTTGAAAGTATTGTCCCAATGTTTAAGGAGATCAGTTTTCTCGTCATCGTAAACTCTAATGTTGAGGTAATCAAACATTCCTGGAAAAAAGTTGTCTATTTCCCTTGTAACATTCAGTATATGGCATACTCTGTAAACAGAAAATTACAATTATACAAAAGAATAATAATAAATATATATATTAATATTAAAATTTATAGAGGTCCGGGTGGTCAAGGGGGGTTAAGTACATGAAAAAAAAAAAAATGGTTGTGGGCCTAAAGGGGGAAAAAAAATCAGAACCTAGCATTCCACTGGTATTAATTAATTATCCAAATATAAACACAGAAATAATTTAATAAATCTGACTCGGTATGTGAGGCCCATCGGTCTACTGGAGGCAGACCGACTTGGCATACTGGAATAAACACTATTTCCACCATTTTATCATTACTTGTTGGCCAGTGAGGATAATTCGCACACTATATTGTCCAGTGATCAAATGACAAATTATTAAGACAATAAAATAAAGCAACGTATTATAAGATTGATGAATCAATTGTTATTTGGACAAAGGAAATGAAAATTAATTTAAAACTTCATGCATGCTTCGAACCAACATCTTTACAAATTTCAATAAGGTATCTTTGCTAATAATAGATCGATTTCAATGATGTTTTTTATTTTTGTTGTGTGAGGATTTTGTAACCTTTTAAATAATCAGTAAAAAAATGAATACTTTTTGAGCTATTCACAAATAAAGTTAATTTTCATTCATAACTTTTTCCCTAAACTTTCTGGAGAACATGACTATTTATCATACCTGAATGAGAAGGAAACCTACTAATCTTTGGATATGATAAAGAATTATCGAAGATATAGTGTACCGAAAAAATAACACCTTTGATAAATTCCTCCTCTCTCGATCATAGGAACCTCAAGTTGACGACATGACACAGGTATCCCAAGGCAGCACCATAATTAAGGTAAGGTTGTATATCTTGAACCCATTGCCTTGCATTATCTCGAAAATAGGATATTTTTGGGCTTGGAAAACATACGAGTCGTTAGTTCTAAAGGATTATAAATTATTTTATTAGTTAAAATATATTTAGAATTGACATAAGAGGAGAAATTTCCACTTAATAACAGCTCTAGAATTATGTTTTTAATAAAGGTGAAATATTGAAAAGTGTGAGGATATGTGGAGGCGATTGGTTGGAAAAATATTACACTAGTGTGCATCTTTCCATTACATTAATGCTAAACCCAAGTTATACAAGCTACACCTTGTATTATTGTACAATACTATTTATATTGTATTTACTTTATGTATGTTTTTGTTTTTTTTTGAACCCTAAAGTTCTGCTCTGTATGTGTGAATTGGTCTCAGTATATTGTTGTAGAATAGTCCCTTGTTTAGTAAGTTAAGTGAGGATCTTAAATTAAATATTAGAAGAGAAGATTCGTTAGGTCGTTCAGTCAAAAAAATGTAAAAATAAATAAATTATATTTATTTTTGCCAAAATTTCGGCCAGAATTTCAGATCTTCATTAGGGCTTAGAAAAAATCAGATAAAAATGGGTACGAGAAACTATTAATATTAAAAAGAATTTCATTATTTCCTACTTTGTTAATGTTATAATTTATTTAATAATTCTCTGTTACTGTTATTATTTTATTCATAATTTCCAAACTATGCTACCATTATGTTATATATCCTAACTTTGTTTCCGCTAATTTCTATCCCTAACTTTGTTTTCGTTATTTTATATTTAAGTTTATTCTACCTACATTTTTTAGACTATACCTTTCACCTACATATTATTATTTTCTTTTTAATGTTAATAGTTTCTCATACCCATTATAATATGTTTTTTTTCTTAGTCCTGATGGAGATCTGAACTTTGGGCCAAAATGTAGGGAAAAATAAAAATCAATATAATTTATTTATTTTTAAATTTTTTTTACTGAACTTTCCAACCAATCTTCTCTTCAATTATTCACTACAGTCAACCATTAATCCACAATTATAAATTAAATAATATTTCAAAATTTAATAACGAACCCATTCTTATTGAGTTCCTCAAGATTTGAAGCATTCCATTCTGAGCCAAGGTAGACGTGAGGAAATATTTCAGTCGCCTCATCCATTTGACCAAGGATAACAAGCATTTCTTCGTCAATGAAAGACTTAAATTCGCCGAGATCGACGTCTAAGGATTCTTCTAATTTCGATCTGACTTGCTTCGACGTGACCTCGTCTAAATCTACTGTCATCATAATCTCCTTCAATGCAGTCCTGATTACCCTTTCGGTTTCCTCCCTTTCCGTGGGCCTGAAAAAAAAAATTAGATAAATTAAATGATTTCAATTCAATAATGGTCATTAAATAATAATACCCATCTCTAAAGTATTTAAATAATTACATTTAAAACAAATTAAAAGAAATTATTAACAGACGATAATTATTATTAGCTATTGTGAAACGAGCTGAGTTAGACCCAGCAGGAACAATCTATACCAAGATGACCCAGATACTGGTATACGCAGATGATGTGGTGGTCACTGGAAGATCTCTGGCTAGCGTAAGAAGTGAGATTACTAAGCTTGATTCAGAAGAGTGGCGTGTGTGTCTCAGAGTCAATGAGGGGAAAGCCAAAGTAATGTGTTGTCAGCGACTACACTTAAGAAGTGGTCAACATTCACCTGGGTTTCATATCAATGAAGATGCAAACGAAAATGAGGAAGTAAGAACTAGATTGCTGAACAGGACCATTAAGATAAGGCTGTACAAGACGCTTGTTAGACCTGTAATAACATACAGGTATCAGACATGGACATACTGCTGCTAAAAAAATTGAAAGAAAAGTCTTTAAAGGGATCTTCGGAGCAGTTAAAGAGTCAGGAAGATGGAGAATAAGGACAAACAAGGAAGTATACCGACTTTATTAGGAACTAGCAGTGTCCATGTTCGTAAAAGTTCAGCATTTAAATTACTGGGCTATGTTTACAGGATGAATGAAACAAGAGCACCTAAAAGACTATACATGTATGATCCAGCTGGAGTGCACTCGAAAGGAAGACCAAAAAATAGATGGCTGGACAATGTAAGCAGTGACCTGAGAATAAATATCATGATGGCAGAAGACAGAGTGTGAAAGGCTTATTGAACAGCATACCAATAGCTATATACGTCTGTAGTGCCAATAAAAGAAGATAATTATTATTAATATTGAAGTATATAACATAAAATACTATACTAACTTATGCCTGACGGAATCTGGCGAAGGAGGTCGCCTCGATTCCAGGCTGTCCATGGCATGCCATTCGTTGAGGCAGGACTGGTCGCTGGAGATACAGCCTTCATAGTGTGCGACCCACTCGTGCGTTAGGCCACTCAGAAAGTAGTTGTGCTCCCTGGCTTTGCTGCTAACCTTGTGCAGTGTTTGCAATGCCGACCTGCAAAAAAAAAAAATAATAATAATAATTATAAGTTTTATTACATAAAGCAACTCTAGAAGTAAATATTATATATAAAAAAAAACAACCCATGAAGGGTATTGAGTTCAGTACTATTTAGGGAAATCACTGTTTCTTGGTCTACGGTTGTGCAAGGGGGTGATTTGAGCGAGATCATGCTCAACCGCCAGGTTTTACCCCTTAATTAACTATTTAATTAAGGGTACTTACTTTGTAGAGGCTGGGTGTGCCCCAGGAGGGTCTACCTACCCAGGGTCGGCCCACGGTCAATGAAACAGAATAAATAATTTTTCTGCCATGAGCCGAGATTCGAACATAGGATCCTTGAGCATTGGAAGCTCAGTGCCCTACCACTGAGCTATCACATTTCCTAACCATATTATATATATGCATATGAAATAAAGTTAAAAAATTGAGAGATAATTTGAGAAGAAGTTGGTCGGCGATGCAGCTAATATAACACTATGTATCATGTAAAAGTATTTATGTTGTAGTTTCCAACATAGAATTTGTTCATGATCAATCACTCATTTATGTTAAATATAAATACAAAATTATGCAATATTGTCATTTTTAGAATGATAAAAAATTGGAATCGAAATAAACAATTAAACAAAATTTGAGGATTTATATAAAAAATATTTAAAAATGTTATTGCAGGAATTATTATTTCTGATCAAATTGTAATCTGATCAAATAATACTGATCTTCAATATTATATAGTATATTAAAAAAAAATAATTAAGTTATTTTTTTTTTAATTTATAAACATCTGCTGATAGAATCATAATATAAATAAATAACTTGGTCATTGAATAAATAAAATATTTTTTCAAGAAAACGTGAAAGTTATATTACAAGGCAGATTTATATAACACAGACCATAATAGCCCACAAGTGACTACCAGTTTCAAAATGGGTTACTGTTATACAACATAGCAAAGCTGAGCAGTAGAATCACATTATTATTTACATATTTTATATATAAAAAACAAATAAATAAAATTATTGTATACTAGTTGGCCGTGGCGAATAATTCACATGGTACAAATAAACAAGGGGGGTAATCCCTGTCCGCCTAACCCCCCTAAATTACCAACAAAACAAAAAAAAACATCATCGGAATCGAACCACTATTAGCGATGATACAGCTTATTTCAGTTTCTACACATGTTTTAATTTATTACTTGCCTTACTTATACTAGGTAAGCAAAGTATTGCGATCGGGTTAAATTTCCGATATGTGGTTTTCGACGGATCTATACGTTTTAGAACCCGAAAAACACATTTTAGCCTGTTTCTTTAAGATAATGAAAGTCTCTACAAACCTGTATAAAAATCGTTAATCTCGGACAACTATTAACGAAGTTACAGCTATTCAATTTCCAATGTTAGATTACGGGTTCATATATAAAGTGTCAGAAAGGGGAGAAGGAGAGAAAAAAAAAAAAACTAAGTAAGAAAATCTGTTTCTCGCATCACATAAGCTTCACTATTTCCTCTACTTTTAACAGAAATAATTGTTTGACAATACTAAGCTATGGCAAAAAGTTTTTGATCAGCAATATTAGATATTTTTTTGTTTCTTGATGGACATACGTAGAGATATAAAACTTTTCTGAAATAGGTAGGAAAGTCGTGTGAGTGGACACACCAGATTTTTTTCTTTCGATTTTGTGATAAAATTATCTTACGATTCAAGTGGAAAACAAATGAGTATCTATGAGTTTTTAGTACACCATTAATTAATGTAATGAAAAAGTTGCGGATTACGATGAGATGAAGCTATTCATGATGTTTTAGGCAGATGTTAATAATTTGATAAAAAGGTGTCTGTACCACAGAATATTATTAGGACTCAAGGCGTGTATTTCAGTTGAAAACTCGGATTCGAAAATTTTCACGATCGCAATTCTTTCCTTTACTATATATTTCATATATAGGTAATTGAAAGTAGAAAAACAAAACTTAAAATATATATAGATACTAAGTTACAAAAGATCACATCAGACGTCAGCACGGACAATTTCCCTATAGCTCTTGTCCCAGCACAACAAACAAAGGGGAGCTTCAAGGATATCTTTATTTAGTCCCGTTGAAGACAGAAGCAGTCGCGGGGAAAACCTAGACAGGCTGTGTGACTCAACGTCGTCCTGTCCCAGAAATTGAGGAAACAATCAACTGAAGATGACCCGCTCTGAAAATTGCCTCCCATCAAGCGGTGGAAGATGGTGTGTGAACCTTTTAGAACAAGGAAGATTAGATGGAACCTCTTTGGACGAGAGAACACGGGGGCGTATTGTGGGGGTCAGGGTAAATGTCAACTGTTACCAAGAAAGCTTTCTAAACTTTAAATAGAAGAAGAAAAATCTGGTGTGTCCACTAATACGACTTTTCTACCTATTTCTGAAAAGTGTTTATATAATTTACATATGTCCATTAACAAAAAAAAAAAAATTTAATTAGATTTATTTTCCTGAAAATTGATCAAAGAAAATATACGAGAGTACGATTTATTCGATAAATTAAAGCAATGTAAATCGGCTTAAGGTAGATCAGTGTAAAAATTTCAATACCCTCTAATATTGCTGATCAAAAACTTTTTGCCATTACCTAATTTTGTCAAACAATAATTTCTGTTAAAAGTAGAGGAAATAGTGAAGCTTGTCTGATTCGGGCAACAGATTTTCTTATTTTTACTTAGTTATCTTTCTTCTCTCATTCATACCTTTCTGACACCAAGATACTATGGAAATTGTCCGAGATGAACGATTTTTATACAGTATTATTATAAATTTTACCATAGAATATATACTTAGCGAGTTAGGCCCCAGAACATTTTTCATTTCTTTATAACTTTTTATCTTAAATTTTCTCGAGAATTTTTGTCTTTGTACGAAAATTGAAAGGACAATTATTAGAACATTATAGAAAAGTTTCATCAAAATCGTTAGAGCCTTTTTGGCGCAACAGTCTATAGAGAAACATATTTTCCATTTATTGCGATGGAAGCACCTAATTTGTGTGGAGCACCTAATTTGTGTCACAGGTATCAGTAGTCAAAACCCTACAAAATAAAAAAAGAAGCAACAAAATCGGTTCAGTAGTTCCCAAGAAAATCTTGGCAGTGACAGACAGACAAACCAATGGTTGAAAATTTGTTTTTCGAACTCAAGGTGCTCTGAAACGTATAGATCCGTCGAAAACCGCAAATAGGAAATTTGACCCGATCGCAATACTTTCCTTACCTAGTGATAGGTAGGAAAGTAAAAAACTTACGGTGTGCGCTTTAGACCACACAATAGAAGTGAAAACATCAAAAAGGCAAGATTAAAAAGATTTGTTCTACATTCACAAAGTAATAACATTTACAATATATATATAATTATAATTTTGTAATAACTATTAAATTTTTTTAAAATTTATTTATTTATATGATATTTACAACTGTATACAAAAAATACATCTGGTAAATTCGCACATGGATATAATGACATGGAACACATGTTGAGAAACTACCTATTGGTAGCACTCTAATAATATGTCTATATTAGGAGATCACGGGGCCATCTTCTTTTCAGACGCCTCAGAGGGTTATCAGGAATTGAATAGGAAGCAAGGTTAGAAACAAGAGGGTTGGGATGGTTATGAAGTTTATTATGGAAGGACAGATATCTAGATTGGGCCAAATCTGATACGATACATAAGGAACATTAAGGATTTTACGAAGGATTTTGGATTGGATGCGAAAGGAATTTGAAGGTTTGGTGGAGCCCCATAGCTCAATTATTAAATTTAAATAAAAAATTTAATTTATAGTTCAATACAAAAAGAAATGCTTAACATTTTCCTTGCTTGCGATATGCAGGTCCGATTTTTAGTTTATGAGATATTTTATTCCATATGCAAAAACACTAATAGACAAAAAAGCGATTTATAGACACTGCGAAATAAGAAAATATGGCGCGGTACATCACATAATTTTCTCTTAGCAAGCTTCATTAAAAATTAATTTAAACTATAAAAATATAAATTAACATTTCTTCCATTTCATCTTTATCACTTTGGAACTGTTATAAATTTTAGATATAATATTTATGGCTAAGAGCTGGATGAAGGAATATTTTTAAAATGTTTTACATATTTTTTTAATTTTAATTTTTTTAACTTAAACCTTTATTTGTGCGAATATACCGTTAATAAGAATAACTGTCGATGGAAAATAACCTCGAAGAAGGATCTATTCAGGTTTCTACTTGTCTGGTATGGTTATTATTTTTTTTCCTCCTGGGATGGAAGCAAAGCCGCAATGCTACCAGGTCACGTAGTATATGAAGCATCAGGGAGCCAAGATATTTTTTTTATTTTTCATTTCTCAGTAATGCAATATAGATCGAAAACTTTTAAAGAATTCAATGAAAATAAAATTTTAAATAATTATTTCCACTATAAAAATTAAACATAAATACTGAAAACTTGATGGTTGAACGTGGTATATTTTTGAGTAAGAAGGTTCATAAACAGACTAATATAGTGAAAAAACTATTTCATTTAAAGTTTCGACCCGACTTTTCAGGTCTTCTTCAGAGGGTTGTATGCAGTAGGGAGTTTCGGTTGAAACTGTTCAGTTGAAACTCCATGAAGAAGATCTGAAAAGTCGGGTCGAAACGTTGGTTTTAAATAAAATTAGTTTTTTCACTATTTTAGTCTGTTTATGAAGCGCCACCTCGGACCATCTTCTTACTCAATAAACATAAATATCTTTCCTCATATCACGGGAGGATCTACGGAGGAGTGGAGGGAGAGACCTTCGGACTGAAGCCCCAAAATGGTAAAATATAACCATGTTTTACAGAAAAAAATATTAAAAGCTATCTCTTAAAGTTTTCTTGTTCGTGTAATTACATTTAATAGGATTTCAAGAACAACTTAAACACCATTTCATGAGGTAGTTAATTTCTTTCTTTTTTTTTTCAAATTAATTATCGTTATTTTTATGGAAAAAAAAATCTTTCGGGCTGAAGCCCTCCCCAAAATTTAATCCTGGATCCGCTAGTGCCTCATATAATCTCTATATTATATGAACCTTTCAGTTCACAGAATAACTCAACTCCAATTTCAACATTTTTGATCATTAATTTTGGTGATATTTCTAGTAGGGAAAATTTATACCTTTATTCAGTTCTATATTTCACACTGCAAACACCAACTCTGGAATCAACTTACAATCTATACAGGTATTATAAATTTTCCAAACAGAAATATCACTAAAAGGACCTTACTCAAAAATGTTAAAATTAGAGTTGGTTATTCTGACAACTGAAAGGCTCATAACGAAGACACCATTGTGAAAATCTCTATTTAGTATTAGGAAAATAGGAGGTTATCGGAGCTCAACACATATCGCTACTGTTAGTATAAAAGGTCGTATGTAATAATTTTACATATTTATTCTCTTTGCCCTAAAGGTGACATTTTGTCGTCTACGACTGGTATAAATAGTCTGCTAAATAAGAAAATAAATTATGAAATTATAATAATAAATCATAAAGAAATAATAGGACTTTATGCTCTTCTATGAAAAAAAAAAAAAAAATCTCAATTTTTACATACGAATTTTTGCAGTAACCGTATCTCTATGTAATAATAGGAACAGTTGTATAATTTGTAAAATGGGGGTTGGTCCACCGTTAAGCGGGATTTTAAAAATTTTGACAAGAGATATAATTCGATGACGTGTATTATCGTGAACGGAAAATTTTACGATCTACTAGAAAATATACAATAATAAATAAATAAAGATTTTAAAAGCAGAAGCAGCACGAAAAATTATATTTAAAAAAAAACCTATTTTTTTCGTTTCAATAAACTTGCCTAATTGAAGTGTTTAAGTAAATGAAGGTGTGGTGAGTATCATCCGTAGACTTTCCACTTTCAATAGCACGTTTATAAATAAATAAATAGAATGTATTTGTATAACCAGAGATAAGACGCTTCTAAAGATATACCTGATATCATTTCAAAATACATAAGTACATACACAACTTTTATTAAATGGAAGCCTATAATTAATATTTCCTTATAACTTAGTACTTGTGATGAACTGTGTTTTTTGTAAATGATTCATATATAAATGGTGCATCGCTAAAAATGAAAATTTTGATAAAAAGTTATTTCGTTTTATAAAATCCACTTCATTTCTGATTAGAGTAAAAAAGAACAACAACGAATATATATATATATATATAACCTGATAAAAATAATTCGATTATTCTTCTTCTTTTTTTTTTTTTTAAACAATGCCTTTACTTTTTTTTGTATAAATTTAAATATAATTTTAAACAATTTTCTTATAAGAGCCGTTTATTTGTAAAGTGAACCTAATTAGCGATAGTTAAAAAAAAAAATATATTTTCTTTTGCTATTGTAATAAAAAAAGAAAAAAAAAAAAAAAAAAGAACTTCTTTATTTATCCAACACATTTCCAAAAATCACTGATAGTATTTTAGTAAAGTAGTAGAGTAGAAATTTAAAAAAAATGAAACTCCCTTTTGGTACGAAATAGACTTAAAGACCTGTTTTTTAACAAAAAAAAGGTTCGTTGGGCTTTGTTTTGAAGAGAAAATATGGTGTATGATTTAGGGAGGGGAAGTGGAAGTTAATATTTTCTTAAATTTTCCTTTGAATAAAACAGTTAAACTTTTTATTACTTTTTTTTCTTTAGAATACTTAAGAAATACAAATTCCATAACATTTCTTGGAAAAAAAGAACGGTTTAGAAAAAAAAACTTATAAAGGAAGGAGATGATCCGGGGTGGGGGTCATAAATGGGCTAAATAGTGGTAAAACCATTTTATTAAAAACCAACGTTTCGACCCGATTTTGCAGGTCTTCTTCAGGGAGGTGTGTTCAGCTAGGGGTTTCAATTACAACTGGATTTAATAAAATAGTTTTGCCACTATTTAGCCTATTTATGACTGCCACCCCGGACCATCTCCTTCCTTTATAATGCAACGGTTAACTATTAAATATTCGAAATAAACTTAGATTTTCATGGCTTTTTTAAATATTTAGGTTAGTTTTTGAAAAAAAAAAAAACACAAATAATTTCACAATTGGATTCATTAGGTGTTTTTACATAGTAATTGATACTTATCTCAATTTCCATAAAAAATGATTTTGGTCCACTTTGGAAATAAACGACACATCTGCTTA